TAAGGCTGGCACCAACACCAGCCTGCCTTGTTTCACAGCTGGGCCTCTTCTGGACACTTCCAAACCCGATACAAAGAGGAAGAATCTGCAGATCTCTCTATAGCTCCTGTTGGGTGGCCCCAGGCAGTGGCTGACTTTGCACCTCCTTGGAGATTCAAGAGCCAGTGTACCCAGTGGTCAGAGTGGGACCATACCAGATTACAGCTCCTCAGATCCATAAGTGTCACACTCAAGGGGCAGACTCATGAGCACCAAAGCCCCACTGAAGCAAGTCCTGCTCCGTAAGGGTGTCTCCTGCACAGCAGCTCTCCCACTGTAGTCGCAGCGGATCCCCACAGCCAACTGGCCTGGAGGTCAATTCCTCCCAGTGATACCAACAGCAATCAAGGCTCAACTACCAGACTGTGCACACAGCCCACAAAGGGGTGCACCAAGAGTGTCCACCTCAGGTGATTGGGGAGGCTGAGCCACTGGGCCCTAAAGGACACCTACTATTAAGGCCACTCTATCAAGTCTGGGAGATGTAGCAGCTCTGCCTAACACAGGGAACCCCACTTCTCTAACTTACTTCATTCTGGAAGGCTGTTTGAAAATCAAATCATTTTTTCCCCATTATAAATAATTTAAATTGAATTAAACCATTCCACACCCCCAAAAGATTCCATCTTTAACCTTTCTTATACACAGTATATGTATAATGTACGGTTTATAAATAAGCACTTATGTTAAATTATTAAACACCCCCTACTAGCTTTAAACAATTTTTTATATATCACTGCCTCAGAAATGCTATCACCAGCTAACTGCTTTTCATTTATCCAATCAAAACAGTTTTTCTACCTATTCAATAGCCTGTAATTATTGTTTTGTGAGTACTTCCACACCCTTTGCAACATTAGCCTCTTGATGCCTCTTTATGTTTTAAGATTGTGCTAATCATTGATTTCCCCAGCAACAAAAGCAACATTCTCCCCTTTGTTTGTTGCCTGAGACACTATTTGTCATGCTGAGCTATCAGCATGAAAGGGTTGGCAAGTTGAAAACCAACTGAAGTTTTGGTTTGACAACCAAGACATTTTTTCTGTGAACAGCTTGGTTGACAACTGAATTGTTCGAGATGGGAGAGGTTTGAGATACAAGGTTTGACTGCACATAAAAACACACACAGGAAAGCAAACAAAATGAGGAGACAAAGAAACATGTCCCAAATGAAACAATAGGAGAAATCTCTAAGAAAAAAAACTAAATTAAATAGAGTCAAGCAAATTACCAGATACAGCCCTGGCTGGTGTGCTCAGTGATTACAGCGCCGGCCTGCACACAGTCGCAGGTTCAATTCCCAGTCCAGGGCACGTACCTGGGTTGCAGGTTCAATCCCTGGCGCCAGTCAGGGCATATGCAGGAGGCAACCAATCAATGAGTCCTCTCTCTCTCTCTCTCTCTCTCTCTCTCTCTCTCTCTCTCTCTCTCTCTCTCTCTCTCTCTCTCCCTTCCCTCCCCTCCCCTCCCCTTCCCTTCCCTTCTCCCTCCCTCCCTCCCTTGCACTCTCAAAAAAATAAATGGGAAAAATATCCTCAGGTGAGGATTAACAAAAAATAATTTTTTTAATGGGTAGAGGATTTTTAAAAATATATCTTTATTAATTTCAGAGAGGGAAAGAGAGATAGAAACACCAATGATGAGAGAGAATCATTGGCTACCTCCTGCACACCCCTGCTGAGGATCGAGCCCGCAACCCAGGCATGTACCCTTGACCTGAATCAAACAAACCTGGGACCCTTCAGTCCACAGGCTTACATTCTACCCATTGAGCCAAACTGGCTAGGGCCAAAAACAATGTTTTTAATTAAAATTACCAGATACAAAATTCAAAACTGGTTATAAAGATGCTCAAGGAAATCAATATGAACTTCAACAGCATAAAAAAAAGACATGGGAACCATAAAAAAGAACCAGTCAGCTGAAACCGGTTTGGCTCAGTGGTAGAGCATCTGTCTGCGGACTGAAAGGTCCCAGGTTCGATTCCGGTCAGGGGCATGTACGTTGGTTGTGGGCACATCCCCGGTAGGGGGTGTGCAAGAGGCAGCTGGTCGATGTTTCTCTCTCATCAACGTTTCTAGCTCTCTATCTCTCTCCCTTCCTCTCTGTAAAAAATCAATAAAATATATTTAAAAAAAAAAAAAGAACCAATCAGACATGAAGGATACCCTAACTGAAATGAAGAATATATTACAGGGAATCAAGAATAGAGTAGATAAAGCAGAGAATCAAATCAGTGATATGGAAGGAAGCAGAAAAAAAAAAAGAAAGAAAAAAATAAAAACACCCAACAGAAAAAAAGAAAAAGAAAAAAGATTATAGGAAAATGAGAATAGTATAAGAAACCTCTGGTACAACTTCAAACCTGCCAACATTCACATCAGAGAGTGCTGGAAGGAGAGGAGAGAGAGAGCGAGAAATTGAAAACCTATTTGAAAAAATGCAGAAAACTTCCATAATCTGGGAAACAAAATAGACATATAAGTCTAGGAAGTGCAGAGGCTCCAAACAAGAGGAACCCAAAGATGCCCACACCAAGACACATCATAATTAAAATGCCAAGGGTTAAAGGCAAAGAGAGACTCTTAAAAGCAGCAAGAGAAAAGCAGTTATCTACAAGGGAGCTCCCATAGACTGTCAGCAGAAACTTTGCAAGCCAGTGATACTGGCTAATAATATTAAAGTGCCCTGGCTGGTGTGACTCAGTTGGTTGAGCGTCATCCCATGCACTAAGAGGTCACCAGTTCAATTCCCTGGTCAGGGCACATCCTCAGAATGCAGGCTTGAGCCCCAGTAGAGGGCTGCAGGAGGCAGCCAATCGATAGTTCTCTCTCATCAATGTTTTTTTTTCTCTCTCTCTCCCTCTCCCTTCTGCTCTCCAAAAAAATCAATTTAAAAACACACATATATATTTTTAAAAAGTCACTCCCTCTCCCCACCTCAGGATTTGCTATGTCCCTTTATTTAAGAAAGAAAAGGAAAAAGAAAAGAAAATATTCAAAATGATGCAAAGCAAGGACCTAGAACCATGATTACTCTATCCACAAAATCTCTCATTCAGGACAGATAAAGACCTTCCCAGACAATAAGAAGCTAAAGGAGTTCATCTCCACCAAAGCAGTGTTGCCAGAAATGTTAAAGGGTCTCCTTTAAAAAGAAGCAAAAGAGGCATGATCCCCCCTCCCAGGAGCAAGCCCACACCTTTCCCTTCCCCCTCTTCCCTCTCGGTCATGCATCTCCTAAACTCTGGGATCCGGTAAGATTTGCAACCAGCTCCCCGCAGCTCACCCCAGGCTGACCCGCCTGAATCTGCCTCCAGCCCCACTTCCTCTCTCTTCTCAGTGAGCCAAAGCAGCCCCATCTGGGCTCTCTCTCTCCTGTTGTTTCTCCCATGGGAGCCCTTCCTTGCTTCACTGTTCCCAGCTTTAATAAGCATGCTCTCAAAATAAAAATGTGAACAAAACAGCCATAAATATATAGGTATCAACAATTACTTTAAATGCAAATGGACTAAATGTTCCAATCAAAAGGCACAGAGTGACTGAATGGATAACAAACAAGACCCTGACATGTGCTGTTTACAAGGGACTCACTTCAGATGGAGAGACACACACAGACTGGAAGCGAAGGGATAGAGAAAGATCGCTCATGAAAACGGAAACGGAAAAACAAAGAAGCTGGAGAAGCAGCGCTTACACCAGACGAGAAGACTGTAAAGCAAAGGCCGTCACAGAGACAAGGAAGGACCCAGCAGCTCCTCTTCTGGGCATTTATCCAAAGAAACCCGAAACACTAAATACATACATCCCTATGTTCACTGCAGTGTTCTGTACAATAGCGGGATAAGGAAGCAGCCTGAGGGGCCATCCACAGATGAACGGATAAAGAAGTGGTATATGCAATGGAATATGACTCAACCATAAGAAAGAATGAAATCTTACAATTTGCAACAACATGGATGGGCCTAGAGAGTATTATATTAAGTGAAATAAGTCAGAGAAAGACAAATGCCAGATAATTTCATATATATGGAATCGAACAAACAAAATCAACAGCCCTGGGCAGGTAGCTCAGTTGATTACATCACCATCCTGACGGGCCAAGGCTGGGGGTTTGATCCATGGTCAGGACTCACTCAATGAGCCTAGCCAGTGTGGCTCAGCGGTTGAGCATCAATCCAGGCACCAGGAGGTCATCTGGTTTGATTACCAGTCAGTCAGGGCACATGCCCGGATTTGGGGCTGGATCCCCAGTGTGGGGCATGCAGGAGAGAAACATCAGTGTTTGAGAGACAGTTGGACTGGTTGCCTCCCGCACGCATGAACCCTTTGGAGAATGCAGAGCGAACCCACAAGGGAGGTATGTGCCCTTGACCAGGAACTGAACCTGCCGCCCTTCGGTGGGCTGGCTGGCGCTCTAACCACTGAGCACACTGGTCAGGGCTGGACAGGTCAGAAGACTCAGCCACTCTGCCACTGAATCCTCACCACCACCCTCCATGGTACAGGCGGTGGCTGTCACCTAACCCCCCCGCCCCCCTGCGCCCCTGGCCACCCGCAGGGGCCTGACTGACTGGGGGCCTCGGCGTGCGGACAGCGGCTCCTCTGACCTCCCCCGGGGCCTGGAGAACAGCCGTCGGCCTGGCGGGCCTGGCGGAAGGAAGGCCTCCCCAGGGACGGCGCGGGCAGTGGGGCTCGGGGGAAAGCTGGGGGAGGCTCTGAGGACCGGAGGTCTTGGACGTCCTGCCGGCCTCGCTGGAGAGGGACGGCCCAGCCAAACCCCCCACCGCCTCCGGCTGCGGGGAGAAGGGGGGCCCTCACCCATCACCTCCCCATCTCCCAGAAGCCGGGAGGCCCCGGTGGCAGGAAGGGGGTGTGAGGATCGCCAGGAGCGCCCCCGCCTTCCAGCCCAGGGTGGAGGCCAAATAAGGCCGGATTGGCTGCCCAGGCCCCGCCCCACAGGGCAGCATTCTTCTGCCTTGTAAGGCCGCAGCCGCCCGCCCTGCGCCTCCTGCCTCCCCGACGGCTCCGCACCGACTCCGCACCGACCGAACCCGGCTCCGCGCACCCACCCAAGAGCCTTCTCCGCACCAGGTGGGCGCCTCCCGGGGTCTCGAGGGGGCGGTATGAACGTGGGGCCGCCCCACGGGTGGGATGTTGGGGAGTCTCTGGGCGGGACAGCCGCTGTTGGTTTGGGGCTGCGACGTGGCTCGGGTCCCACAGGGATTCTGGGGGGACCGGGCAGCAGGGGGCCTGTCTGGGCTCTGGGAGCCAGCGGTCCTTCGGCAAAGGAAGGCTGTGTGGGAAGCGGGCAGGGGCTGTGGCTGCAGGTGTTCCTCCCTGGTGGACAGCCCCAGGTCATGTGTGTCTCGGACAGAAAGCAGCCCCGTCAGGCTCCATGAGGTCCCCCCAGAACGTATTTGTCCTGGGGGCAGGGAGAGGAAGGGATGGGGTAACCACACCCCGCTCGCACCGAAGCTGTGTGCCAGGCTGCCCATTTGTGCCTGTTGCCTGGGGAAGGTCTCCAAGGCCCTGGGGGCTCAGCCTGGGGGGCTCGGGGCTGACGAGAGACTCTGGCCCTGCTCTTCCCCCGCCTCCCGCTCCTCGGGCTGCTCAGTCAGGGAACAGCCTCCGATAACAGGTCACAGCACTGCAGGCCTCAGGGACGATGAGGTCATGGGGCGCACAGGCCTGTCCATGGGGGGAGGTGGCACCTAGTTACAGCCAAGTACCAACTCTCAGATCCTGGTGTCCAGGACCCCAAGTCGGGGCAGGTGATGACCCCGGGCTGAGGGCCCAGCCTCTCTCTGACCCGACCCTCAGCCAAGCCTAGAAACTGCCTCTGGTCACGCAGAGCCCTCAGCTGCACATGCGCCTCTTAGGATCTATGTTTCCTCCGTGCTCGGAGGGCCGTTTGCTACCATTGACCCAAGCCCAGCCCCGGGGTCCTGGCTCCCAATTGAACTCCACCCCTCTCATGGCCATTCACTTCCATATATATATATAATTGACTTCTTACAGAGAGGAAGAGAGAAGGATAGAGAGTTAGAAACGTCGATTAGAGAGAAACGTCGGTCACCTGCCTCCTACACGCCTCCCACTGGGAATGCCTACAACCAAGCCACACGCCCCTGACCAGAATCGAACCCGGGACCCTTCAGTCCGCAGGCTGACACTCTATCCATTGAGCCAAACTGCCCAGAGCTCCACTTCCCTTCTTAAGCCTCAATTCTTTTAACTGCACATTAGGGCACCCCCGCCCCCTCTTTCCTGAGATTGCTGGAACGGACAAGCTGTAAAGCTCTGTGCTCTCAGGCATGAAGGCAGAGGGGCCCGTCCAGTGTCAGAGCTGCCTCTGGCCATGCTCCCTCCTCCTGGCCACGTCCCTCTAGAGCTCTGCAGATGGGAGTGAGGGTGACCATCACAGCCCCTGCGGGGTGCAGCGGGCTTCTCCTTGGTGCCTCCAGTGGGTGCCTCAGTCCAAGTGCCCCGAGAACACCGGCTCAGGGAGGGACTGGGCCCTGAAAGCACTAAACCCCAGGAGGGAGCGGCACTCCCCGCCGATGGCGAAGGGCTCCTGCCGGCCTGCCCCGAGGTGTGTGGGGCCAGGCGGAGCGTGTGGGGGCCAGGCGTGTCGCCGAGTGGGACCCAGCAGCCAGTGTCTCTGACTATAGGCATGTGTGGCCCTGGGTAAGGGCTGGGGGTGGCCAGGCTCCCGTCTCAGGAAGTAAGATCTCCAAGGCCAAAACCCAAGAATAACTTGAACATGATCATAGGACAGAGGCCTGGAGACAGCTCGAGGAGCACTCACAGCCACACAATTTTTTATTTAAAAAAAAAAAAAAAAAAAAAAACAGAAAAGGCTTTCTGGACCCAGGGGTTCAGCACAGAGGAAAGAGGAGGCAGCAGCCTGGAGCGTGGCCCAGAGCCATACCAGCACCTGGCCTTTAGGGCAGCCCCACAACCATGACAAGGGTTCAGGGGAAAAGCCCTTTGTTGGGCTTTAGCTTCCCCATCTGTACAGTAGGGAGTGTAGACCGTCACCTGACAAACAAGCATCTTTTAGCCCCATATGGGCCTCGGTGGACACTGGGATCTACGACAGCCTGACTGAGGGTGGGGGAGACCTTACATGCTGGCTGTCAAAGCAAAGGTGGGACACTGCTCCCCACGGGGTGTCTCAGGAGCTGGGCTGGAGGAGCACATCCCAGGGGAAGAGTCCAGGAAGGAAAGTCTGGGGGCACCTAGGGTACAGCTTAAGGTCCAGGTGGCAGGGCCACAGGGGCAGGAGGGCAGTGAGGGTCCGGGGTCAGCCAGAGAGAAGGGCCTTGAAGGCCAGGCTGAGGGGCCAGGCTGAGGGCGGTGCAGGAACCTTTGAGGGCTTGAAGGTGAAGTGACAGGTGCAGGTCTGTCTGTATGGAAGGCAGGGACTGGCGAGAGGCTAAAAGACCAGGTCTAAAGAAGGGGGACAAGAAGCTGGCTTCTCAGCCTGGGGGAGCCTCACGCCCCTATAAGCATTGAGGAATGAGAATAAGGAGTAGGACCACCCGTCTAGGGGCTGGTCAGTGTGGGCAGCTGTTGGAGGGAAACTGCCCAGAGCCCTGGCCTTCCAGAAGCTCCAGAGCTGGGAGCACAGAGGGATGGGGAGGAGGAGGGGGAGGAGGGGGAGGAGGAATGTCAGGAATGCAGGGCCACAGACCCAGCTCCTTCCTGCTGGGGGGTGGCAGGGAGCCCCACCGTGTCATGTGAGAGATGAACAGTTTGTAAATGCTGTCAGGGGTTAAAAGAGATAAGCATGGAAATGGCTGGCACTAAACCCAATCCTAAGCGTTTTACCCAGTCTGCAAAAATAATGCGCTCTGCGCCTGGCACCGTCCCAGGGCCTTCCTGGGCACTGAGTCAGTCCGTCACTCCTGGGCCCTCCCCTCGTCCCCAGTCCCAATGAGGAAACTCGCTCAGAGGGACAGGGGAAGTTAGAGGGCCTTGCAGGTCTGCCTCGGGGTGAGCTGGTGGCAGGAGCCCCAGGCCTGTGGGAGGCCTTGAATGCCAGGCACAGGCACAGACAGTCGCTCTGGCTGAGTCACGGGCTCTCCCCCCACATGCACTTCCTGCAGGGCAGCCCCTCCCACCCGACGCCAAGATGTCCAGCAAGAGAGCCAAGGCCAAGACCACCAAGAAGCGGCCACAGAGGGCCACGTCCAATGTCTTTGCGATGTTTGACCAGTCCCAGATCCAGGAGTTTAAGGAGGCCTTCAACATGATCGACCAGAACCGCGACGGCTTCATTGACAAGGAGGACCTGCACGACATGCTGGCCTCCCTGGGTGAGCAGGGACGGCTGGGTGGGGTCTGAGTGGGCCCCGGGAGGTTCTGCACCTGGAGTGGGCTGTGGGCCGCTCATCACTTAGGGGCACTTCCTGTGTAGTGACATGTGGTACCCACCCTGAGAGCAAGTGCCATTACTTTTCCCGTTTAACAGATAGGGAAACTGAGGCACGGCAGTTCGGCAGACAGGCTCACTCCAGGGCAGGACTGCCTCAGGCAGATGTGTGGATTGGGCTGCCTTATACCATTTTGTTTAAAGCAAGGGCAGAGAATCTTTTTTCTGCCAACAGCCGTTTGGATATTTATAACACATTCACTAAATACACTGAGTGGCCAGATTATTATGATCTCTGAACGCATAATAACCTGGCCATTCAGTGTGTGTGTGTGTGTGTGTGTGTGTGTGTGTAAGACCCGGTGCATGAATTCGTGCATGGGTGGGGTCTGGCCAGCCTGGTGGGGGGAAGTGGGAGGGCGGGACATGGGCAGTTGGTCGAACTCCTGGTCGAGGGGACAATTTGCATATTAGCCTTTTATTATATAGGATATACACTGATTGGCCAGATTATTATGCATTCAGAGATCATAATAATCTGGCCAGTGAGTGTATAATTTAATATAAATTTATGTTGCTATGAAAAAGCTCCTAGATTTATTGGCTTTCAAGTCCCACCTGTGGTTGCCTCGGCAGGACCAGACTGAGTGATTTTGTGAGCCTTGTAAGGCCCTCGGCTGACCTTCCCCACCTGATTTAAAGAAAGGGTTCGGCGACTAAAAGAAAATCTGAACTGCATAGATTTCCTGTACAGATGGGAACTGAGGCTCAGAGGGGAGGCCAGAGCAGCTCTGCTCCTTCAGAGGTCACCTGTGCCAGGCTCTCAGGGCCTCTCTGACTCCCGTGGCTTCCCCAGAATCAGACTCTTAGAACTGAAAGGGGTCTGGAACCTAGTGTCACCATTGCTCAGATGGGGAGACTGAGCCCAGAGGCCAGGCCTCCAAACAACCACCCTCAGCCCCAGCTCCAGGCCCCCCCGTTTCCAGATGGGAGCATCTGGGCCGGACACGGGCTGGGAAGAGGGAGCCTGGGCAGCGGAGAAGGCAGCCTGTGGTGTTCAAGCCCCGAAGCTCTGGGGCCCGTGGCCTGGCACTCCCCTCACTGCTCCTCACAGCTGGGCGGCCCCATTGGCGCCTGTGGCCCCCATGCACCCACCGTGTTGTCTGGTGGGAAGGACCGGGCAACCCTGAGTGGGAAGGGTGACATCAGACACTGCCGCCCACCCTGGGCGCCATCCCTCTCCCAGCTTCCGGCCAGACTTACTAGAGGTTGCCTCCCCAAGGAGGTCGCCTGCAGGGAGGAGGACTGAGGCTGCTGAGGGGAGGGGCTGTGGGTCCCGCTGTCACAGCTCCTCCTAGGCCTCGGCCATCCCTGGGGACACAGCAGGGTGAGTGAGGTCAGAGGAAACAGGGACACGAAGCTCCTTCCCACTTACAGAAGGGCCCGGAGCCCCAGAGACTTGCTGACAGAAAAACCCGCTCCTGTTCCCAGCTCCTGCCAGCGGGTCCCCTGACCGGTCCAGCCTTGTGGTTAAGAACATTGCCCTCAGGTTAGAAAACAAGAGCAGCAAATAAAATAAGAAGCTGCAGCTTCTGCAGGTATCAGAGTGTCAATTTCAAAGCAATTCTACTGAGTAGATGTGGCCGACCTTCCCACTTGAACAAATGAGGAAACAGAAGCTCAGAGAGGTTTAAGTCATTTGCCCACGGTCACGCAGCTTCTCAGAGGCAGAGCTGGGATTTGAACTCAGCAGTTGATTAGAGTCCCTAGGACTATGCTAATTACTATGTGCATTTACAACCACTGCCTCATCTTCCTCATCTTCTTAATTCTCCTAAGAGGCAGGGGAAACTGAGGCACGGAGCCTCTGTGACACCAAACCTCACTGTTTTAACCACCTTTGAAGCAGGGCCTAGTCTCTGGGGTCTGGCTGGCTGGGTCGGAATGCCAGCTCCACCCTTTCCCTGCCGTGTGACCAAAGTCGCCTCCCTCTGTGCCTCAGGCTCCACACACGGGAAGTGGGAGTAGGACACTGACCGTACAAGGTGGTGCGGCGGAGGCCGATGCAATAAGGCGGGTGGAGCCCGGACGCAGGGAGCGAGCAGTCAGCAGACGGTGCTCTCACACGTTCGAGGGCCTCCCCGCTCCCCGGCATCCAGCCCAGGGGAGGCGGCTCACCAAGGCCCCGTGAGAGCCCCAGAGAGAGCAGGCGAGCAGCCGGCTGCCCAGCAAGATGCCCACCAGCTTATAAACGTCCCACCCCCCGCCTGCAGGCCTCACCCGGGGCCATGGAGGGAGGTGGGAGGGGGCGGGCGATGACCACGGGCGTGACCGCCTCGCCCGCCACAGGGAAGAACCCCACGGACGAGTACTTGGAGGGCATGATGAGCGAGGCCCCGGGACCCATCAACTTCACCATGTTCCTGACCATGTTCGGGGAGAAGCTGAACGGCACGGACCCCGAGGACGTGATCCGCAACGCCTTCGCCTGCTTCGACGAGGAGGCCTCAGGTGGGGCCTCGGGGGCCGTCAGGGCTGGGCCGCTGCCCCTCTGCCTGTTTGGCACCAGAACCCTAAGAGACACGGCGTCCCTCTCCAAATGCTAAACCCAAACGGCCCACGTCCACCCAGGCTGCCCACTTCCTAGCTCACCTGCTGGCCCAGCACGCTCTGTCTCTGCTGTAGATCTTTCCAGAAACCACACAATCAGGCCCTGCTGGCCAGCAAGCTACAGACACCAGCCCACACCCTCCAGTCTTCAGAGGGACTTCCTGTCCCACAGCTAGCTTTGCCCAGGGACAAGCCAGAGTGAGGCTGGCGGTGGTAGTTTCAGCAGTTTCTCGGGGACCACAGGCCTGAGTGTGCTCGGAACATTTTCCTGACTGCCCTCACCCCCATTCTCCAGCTCAAACAGGCACAGCAGAGAGGGTAGGTACCTTGCCCCAAGTCTCACAGCTAGGAAGACCGGGGATCAGCATTCGAATCCGAGCAGCAGAACCCTGGGGCTCACGCTCTACAAGCAGGACACTCCCAGTCCCCCACACTGAGCCCCAAGTTCCCCCCAGAAACGCCTCCCAGACAACCCCACTGCAGAACTCCACCTCCTGGGGCCCCGGCGAGCTCAAACTGACCGGAGGCCAGGGCTGGTCCTTTCCTGCAACCCCCTCCGTCCCCATCGGTGACAAGTCTACAAGGACCCACCCGGTGGGGTGCTGAGGGTGTGTGTGTGGGGGGTGTCCCAGCCTGAGTCCCTGTCTCTCACGCACCTTGGCCCCACCCCCAGGCTTTATCCACGAGGACCACCTTCGGGAGCTGCTCACCACCATGGGCGACCGCTTCACCGACGAGGAAGTGGACGAGATGTACCGCGAGGCCCCCATCGACAAGAAAGGCAACTTCAACTACGTGGAGTTCACCCGCATCCTCAAACACGGGGCCAAGGACAAGGACGACTAGGCCTCCCGGCCCCCGTGTGCAGGCCCCCGTCCCCGTCACCCACTCCACACACACACAGTCTGCACCTGCTCATGCCCAGGGGACCCGCTCAGGGAAGCCTCCCTCTGAGGGGTTGGGGCCCGGCTCCCAGTGGAGGAAACAGGCCCAGAGAGGCAGTGCCAGGCAGGGGTCACACAGCCACTGTGCGGCCGGGGTGCCCACTGGGACCCTCCAAGGAAGGATCATCCAGGGAGCTGGGCCCGAAGGTGCCAGGGGAAGGCCCCGAATGAGAGCCCGGGCTGTCCCCACAGGAAGGGCCTGCACCACTTCAAGGGCACCCCATGCCGGGCATGAAGCCCTTTCCCAGACACTGCCACCAACTCACGAACCTCACCACAGGGTCCTCGGAGGACGGGTGCCAGAGCCCCCCGCCTGCCCCAGAACACCCCACCCACGGGGAGTGGCTCCTCCGAGAGGCGGAGTCTAATAGAAGGCTGAACACTGCTTTGGCCCGTGTGTCTGGTCTGTGGAATTAAGGGCCCAAGAGACTCCAAACACCCTCCCACCCTCTCCTCCCATCCCCAATGGCTGCCCATTCCTCCCCTCCACCCCCCACTCCCAAGGTCCAGCGTGAGACCAGCATCAGGGAGTGGACAGAGGTGCTGAGGGAAACTGCCTCCTGGGAGGAGAGGGCAGAGTGGGGAGAACTACAGGAATCCCAGTGGAGGTTCTGGGCCCCTGTGGGGGCAGGGGTCAAAGTCACATGGCCTTTAGGACTAGAGCCTGCATCTTCAGGGTCACCTGTGTTCCTGGAAACAGAGGGGCACAGTGGCTCAGGGATGGAGTGGGAATGAGCTGGTTTCTCAGACTGCGGAGGTCAGCTCCAGGCAGCCGCAGGGGTGCTCTGTGCTGCACCCACCATGGCTAGAGGGTCCTTTCAGTCACGTGACTAGCAATCCAGCTGGCACAGCTTTTTTGCACATGCGGTGAGTCTGGCAGAGCTGGGATCCCTCTTGATTTAAAGGATGGGGACTCTGACAGCAGTGCCTGGGGCTTAGGAGGGATAGAAATATTGCCAGAATGAACCAAGAACTAAGAAGGGCAGGGACTGCCTAAGGTCACCTAGTATAAGTGGGGCACAGGGAGGGCTCGGCCCCACCTTTGGGACCCTCCAGGAGGCTCAGGCCAAGACTGAGCATATCCCACCTGACCCCAGCAAAGGTCAGAGAGCAGGCTTAGTCCTGCTGCCTTCCCTGAGGGTCACCCAGAGCCATTCAGCCACAGCACACAGTAAAGGCCGGAGATCAGCACCAAGGGGACTCCTCCCTGGCCCAGGAGGCCCTAACCTCCTACAGCCTCTGCTCTACCTCAGCACCAGGCCCTAGTCAGAACCCCATGAAACCCCTCTTGCCTCCAAATTGAGCCCCAAGAGTCCCTGACCTCAATTCCACACAGAGCCAGCTCCAATCAAGTCCCAACTGGGCCCCAAGTACTGCCCCAGGTTCAGTCCCAGCCACACCCTTGACCCTGGCCCTAGACTAGGTGCCCTGAGTGACCCTCAGCTCAACCCAGTGCTGAGCCTGACTGCCCACTCACTGCAGCCGATCCTGAGGGAGTCCCAGATCACTGGCCACAAAGGCCTGACACCAGGGTCACCGGTCATTCTGCAGAGCCACGGTGGAAACCAAAGTCTTTCCTGGAAGAAGGCAGAGACATGTGGTTCCATAACCACATTGGTGGAGGGACAGACAAATGTATCGATGGAACGGAGAGTCCAGAAATAGGCACACACATTTGTGGGACTTGCTATATGACAAAGGTGACAGATCAGTGGGGAAGGAGGGACTCGCTAAATGGCGCTGACACAAATGTTGATAGAAGCATTATTTAACATTCCCAATTCCAAGCACTGGTGAGGGTGAGAATGGGGAGCACCTAGTGTTCTCACACTACAGAAGGGGTATAAACAGGTGCAACCACTTTGGAAAACTTTGGCTAAAGCTAAACAGACATCTAGGAGTCAGCAATTCCTCTCCTAAGTATATACATATGCAACAGAAATGTGGACACCTGCTCACCAAAAGGCAGGGGCAAAATGCTCACGACAGCACCACTATACTAGCCCTAGTCTAGAAACAACCCAATCTGCCCAACAGAATAGACAAAGGAATGACAATGAACCACAGCGCGGTGCATCGGCACGGATACATCTCACCAACATGTCAGGTAAAAAAAGCAGGCACAGGATTCAACCAAGAGACAGAAACTACACTGGTTGTTTGAACAGAGATTACTTATATAGATAACTGGTAACTAGGTATAAAGTTTTAGTAAAGTAACAAAGGGTAAAAAGAGAACACAACACAAGCCTTTTGAAAATATGGGTGCAAGTACAAGACACAACAGAAAATCTGAATAGAGGGATCCACATGAAGAAATTGAAAGTAAAATATTTGCAAATCATGTATCTCATAGACACTTGTATATAAATAATGCACAAACTCAGTAAAGAGAAATAATCCAATTTAAAAAGAGCAAAGACATTTCTCCAACGAAGATATGCAAACGACGAATAAGCAAACAAACACAAAGATGCTCACCATCTTTAGGCACTGGGAAATGGATGACAATAACAACAACAGGAAGTAACGTGTTGGGGAGGAGTGGGAAATCCACATGGCTGGAAGAAATGTAAAATGGTGCAGGTGTTTTGGAAAATAGTCTGACAGTTCCTCAAAAGGTTAAACAGATACTTACCCACGACTCAGCAGCTCCATTCCTAGGTATATAACCAAGAAAAGCATACACCCACACAAAAACTGGTACACACAAATGTTGATAGAAGCATTATTCAAAATAGTCCTCCCCCCTTCCCCCCAAAAAAAGAAACAACCAAATGTCCAGCAACTGATAAATGAATAAGTAAATATGGTAGCGCCACACACGAATATTATTCAGCAGCTAAAAGAATGAAGTACAGTGTTGTATGAAAGGAGAGAAGGTTAGCACTCCCCTTGACAAGGGGAGTGGAAGAGGCTCTCGGGCCTAACAGCACGCATACAGGTAAGGCATTGCCACCAAGCCCCAGGATGAAACCAGCCCCAGGATGAGAGGAGCCCCCCATGCACAGAGGGAGGCCGTTGGGGCCTCGGAGGCTGAGAGGCGGGTCTGCGTGGACACCGCTCGCCCACCCTCAGGCCTGGACACCTGGGTGGGCGCCTGGGGTGTCTCCCCCGTCCCATGTGGGGGAGACCTCACCTCGTCCTGACCACGATGGACAAAGGCCTTAGGGACCGAAGGTGAGCGGAGCCCCACCCATGGCGGGCGGAGCGGTTAGCGGGCCTCCGGGCGGTGGGTCTTCGTTATGTAAACCCTGATTTCGGAAGAGAAATGGCAGAAGTACGTGCCACATCTGGCTACTAGGAAGTGCCCACCACCCTTTGCGAAGATTTACTGGCGCTTTATAGGCGCCTGTGTATATAATATGAAAAAGCTGCTCTCAACTTTCCCCTGAACCTTTCAAAAGAGAATTTGCTACATCTAGGCCTTCTAGATGTAAAGAGGTTGCCAACGTATGATAAAGTAGAGTTAGAAAATCACACGTCTTGCAAACGCCCATTTTAAAAAATACATCAAAAGAAATGTCTTCTGGAAATGACTTTGAGATGGAATTGTCAGACTGCCTCTAGAAACGGCGTGCGGCATCGGGAGCGACACACATCCACGTTTGCCCCGTGGCTTGGAAGACCCGGAGAGAAGACCTGGAGGAGGAAGAAAAGGTTCTGTGCCAGACTGGTCATATTTAGAAGACATTTTCATATTATAACCATGGTTTTATGTGTGCATTTTATTCCTCACTATTGTATAATAGTTGAAAATGCTAAGTACTTCTTTGAAATATGTATCTTTCTACATGTTCTCAAAAGCCTGATAAAAGCAAAGGTAGTAAGTACTTCTGGCCAGTGTGCTAAGTGGTAAGAGTGTCTGCCCAGGCACTGAAGGGTCACAGGTTCTATTTCCAGTCAGGGCACCTACCTGGGTTGCAGGTTCAGTCCCTACCCTATCAATGTTTCTCTCTCTCCCCATCTCCCCTTCCCACTCTCTCTGAAAAGCAATGGAGAAAATATCCTTGGGTAAGGATATAAAAAAAGAAAAAAGAAGTAGAGGTAGTAAAAAGACACTTTAGAAAATATCTTGGTTCTTGCGAGGAGAAACCAAGATGGCGGCATAGGTAAACACCTAACTGCAGCCTCACACAACAATTTCAAAAAATACAAATAAAATAAAAAGTGGACATTATCCAGAACTACAGGAAAGTTGACTGACTAGAAATTCTACAACTAGAAGGAAAGAGAAAACCAAAAGGAAAGTCAGAGGAGCTGTAAAAGCCTAAGGTACGGAGCCTTGGTGCACACTTGGGGAGGGGTAGGCTGAGTACCTGGCTGGCGTTCCCTAGCCAGAAGGGGACAAAAGCTCTGGACTATGCTGAGCCCCAGTTCTAGACCAGACCCTGGGGACCTAGGCTCATATGGAGGGAATCTGGGCTGTAAGGCAGAAACTCAGGGAGCAGCGAAAGGCAGAGCCCTGGAGTTGTGCACATTGCGTGCAGAGGACTAATTATTGACTGTGACACTGGATTGCCTTAGCGGGAAGGAGACAAAAGCTCCGGACTGCACTGAACCCTGCTTCCAACTGCACTGAACCCCAGTTTCAGGCTCATTAGGGGAGAGATTAGACTGTCTAGTAGCAGGGGAAACTTGAGGGCACCTTTCTCTCAGATATGCTTGAAGCAAGTACCAAAGGAGACTCAGGAACCTCATAGGGCGGGGCTGACAAAAAGCCAAGGCCGTAGGCTCCACCCTGAAACTCCACTCCATCCAAGCTGAGCACAGAGGCTTTTGTGTATAGACACAGCTGATCCTCACAGCCAATTGGCCTGGAGGTCAGTTCCTCCCAGTGATACCAACAACAATTAAGACTTAACTACAAAAGGCTGTACACACAGTCCACAAAGGGGTGCATCAAGAGTGTCCACCTCAGATAACTGTGAGGCTGACCCACTGAACCATATAGGACACCTAACACACAAAGCCACCCTCCCAACTCAGGGAAGCTGCAAAAATGCCGAGACAAGGAAACAGATCACAAACGAAATGGAGGACAAAAAGCGACTGGATATACAGTTCAAAACTACACTTATAAGGTTTTTCAAGAATTTCCTAGAAAAGGCTGATAAAATAAATGAGACCTATGAGGATATGAAAAGGGATCAACTAGAAATGAAGAATACATTGTCTGAAATAAAAAATATTATACAGAGTCCTAAAAACAGAATGGAAGATCGCAAGAATCAAGTCAAAGATTTGGAACACAAAGACCCAGAGGACACTCCTCCGCAGAAGCAAGAAGTCAAGAGAATCCAGAAAGTTGAAGATAGTGTAAGAAACCTCTGGGACAACTTCAAGCAAAACAACATCAGAATTATGGTGGTCCCAGAAGATGAG